TCAGTCACGCTAACTTTGCAGACTCTGGTTGATAAGTCAAGCTCATTTCTATCTTCATGGCCTTCACAATAGTGGTTCCCTCTTCCTGGACCACTCTGCTTAAAGGTCTTTGCATAAAAATCACTCAGATTTTTAGTTCAAATCTCTCTTTCTCAGAGAGCCTGTCCCTGGCCACTCTCTCTAATAGGCACTGTCTCTCAGGTACTTTATGATTTCCTGACATTTCCATAACACTTATCATTATCTGAAATTATCTCATTCATTATCTAAATATTTATGATCTGTTCTTCTACTCCTACTGAAGTGAGAGTCCCAGGAGGAGCAAGCGTGGTTTATTTTATGCACCACTGTCTCTCCCGGGCTGTGAACAGTGCCTAACACATTCTATTAGTTATCTACCACTGAGCAACAAATTACCCACACTTTAGATACTAGAGACAGCCCACATTTACCATCTTGCAGCTTTTCTAGGTCAGGAATTCAGAAGCAGCTGGCCATTTTGGGCTTTTGGTCTCATATGAGGTTGTAGTGAAGATAGTGGCTGATGCTGCAGCCAACTTGACTAGTGCTGGATGATCCGGTGTCGAGATGGCTCATTTGCAAGGCTTTGGCAGGAAGCCTCAGCAATCCTCTGGCTTTGGGTGGGAGGGTTCAGATCCTCATCATGTCAGCCTTTCCAAAGGGAGGCTTTAGTATACTCAGGACAGGACGGACGCTTCCCTGCAAGGAAAATGTTAAAGAGAAAGACAAGATAGAAATGGCAGGGTCTTCACCAACCTCACCTAGGAAGCCACATTTTCCTATTTGCACAATATCATGTTGGTTGCATGAATCAGCCCTATTTATTGTGGAAGGTGATGACACAAGGACACAAGGATCAGTGTCAAGGCTGGCTAGTAAATATATTTTGCACCAATGAATTGTGTCTCAATTTTATAATTTAACTATTAGAGGGGCATCTTTTTTAACAAGTGTTTGGTGAAAAGTCTTTCATCCTACCAGCCCTAGCTCCACAAACCTATAAAGTAGATCCTATTTAGCCTTTCAAATAGAATGTGAAAAACAGCAGTCCAGAAATGATATGGTGACCATACTTTTGTACACATTTGATTTATTAATAAGGACAACTGGACAAAATAACTTTTTTAATTAGCAACATTTCAGAAAACCTAGGCATGTGTTTTCTGTCCATACATGGCCACACTACCAATCAGAATCCTATTCAGTTCCTTCCATCAGCATAAAATTTTGTAGTTTGCAAAGCATGTTCATATATAGTCTCACTTGAATTCATAACAGCTCTGCAAGTAAAACATCACATAGGCACCATTTCAAGTCCCAGCTGCCCCACTTCTGATCTAGCTCTTTGCTAAGGTGCCTGGGAAAGTAGCGAAAGATGGCCCAAGTCCTTGGGCACCTGCACCCACGTGGGAGACCCAAAAGAAGCTCCTGACTCCAAGCTTTGGATTGGCCCAGCTCCAGCCGTTTTGGCCATTTGGGGAGTGAATTAACAGATGGAAGACTTTTCTCTCTATCTCTCTCTCTGCCTCTGCCTCTCTGTAACTCTGCCTTTCAAATAAATAAATAACAAATAAATACATCTTTAATACATATATGATGAGAAAATTAAAGCAAGTGTATACTAAGTTACTTATCTCAAGTCTCACAGTTTATTAAGGGAAAAGATGAAATTTAAACCTAGCATTTGGGTTTCAGGTTATGTGCACATGACTACTATCCTGAAAGGCGGGGGATGAGGGAAATGAAAACGTTGTGTGCGCCTCCTGCAAAGGGCCTGATGATTACGCCCAGGCATTTGTGCTCAATTAAACAGGGAGCATAAAACAGGTTTCCCATGACAGTGACAGAAAGGGTAGTGTCGTTGGCAGCAATTTCAGAGAGATGTTTAACGCAGAAGCTGATTCCCTGGACTACATGAAGGGGAAGGACCGGGTAGTATTAGTGGTCTCTAACTAACTTGGAAACTTGGTTGGCAAGGAGAGTAGAGTTGGAGGGGTATTTAAGGCTTGGGTTTTCTCCTGCTTGAAGAGGGAAGCTGTACACACACTTGGGGATTACTGTTGTCGCTGCCCCTCACCAAATCACAGTTACTCCAGGACAGATTTCCTCAGTGCTGGGGTTTGCGCAGTTCAACACACACACACACACACTCACAGACACATACACACACAGGCAGCACACTTACACAGTCACACACGGAGGAGACACACCACTCACAAACTCACACACACAACCCCCACACACATACACACAGATTCAGACACACAATCACACACACAGACGTACACACAGAAAGAACAAATACAACACTCACACACACCCACACTCACACGCATACACAGAGATTCATATACAATCACACACACACAGACTTACACAGTGAACTTACATTCAGACACACCACTCACAAAACACACACACTCACACACAAACTTACACACAAAGAGAACAAATTCAGACACACCACTCACAAACACCCACTCACACACACAACCCCCACACATTCACACAGATTCAGACACACAATCACACACACAGACACACGTACACACAGAAAGAACAAACACACCACTCACACACCCACACTCACACACATACAGAGATTCATACACAAACACGCACAGACTTACACAGAGAATTTATATTCAGACATACCACTCACAAACTCACACTCACACACAACCCTTCACATACACAAACACAGTGATTCAGACACACACAGTCACACACAGACTTATACACTTACACACAGAGAACAAACACACGACTCACAAACTCACACCCACATTCACACATAGAGATTCAGACACACACAATCTCATATACACACAGACTTACACACTTACACACAGAGAGAACACACATTCAAACACACCATTCACTGTGGTGGAATGAGAAGGTGAAAGGTCATGCCAAGATGGCTGCTGACAACAGAAACTGCCTGGCAACAGGCCATGACTGGATGGCTTCGGAAACCACATGACAACAGAGTCTGACAACAGGCTGTGCTTGGTTAGGGTATAGACCACCCCTTGATGGAATTGGCTGCCTTGGCTGTAGAAGCAGCTGTAGCAACTGAAATAAATGAGTCTGCGGGCTGCTCGCCTCAGGCTGCTCACCTCAGGCCCGCTTTCACCCAACTCTAGGGGTCTATGTGGTGACTCCACGCCTCATGCCCCCACCACACTCCTCCTCTCAGAACGAATCCTCTCAGAAAGAAATCAACCTCAACATCTGGCACACCAATGTGACTGAGAGACACAGCATGTTGGACTCAGCGAGGTCCCCCTGAATTTCGGCAAGAAGGCCCCTCGGTGTTTTGTGTGCTGTTCTGTTCTGTGAGGGTGAGCACAGAACCCCCTCCTACGCCCCTTTCCTTGTCCTTGTCCTCAGTGTAAGTGACCCCAGGTTATCACACACCACCCAGAAGCATACACCACTTCTCGGCTCCTCGTACTTTCGGTTCTCCCAGCGAATTCACATAAGGGACTGATCACCCCAAAATTCGGAACCAAGTCATCTTCCCTCACTGAGAGAGGTGATGCTCCAGAGACACCGTGTGGGCATATGGCCTTGACCTAACGAATCAAGGACAGGACATACATATGCTCTGATACACCACTGTCTGTTCCTCTAACGTAGAGAACCCCTGTATAAAGCCATCAACACCTGAGGTGCTAGGAACTTGCATTGTTATGGCAGCAGTGCTGTGGGTGTCTTTCCTTTGGCTAGAGTTGGTGTGGCACACTGCTCTTAAGTGCTCGGACATGGGAAAGATACCCCCCTCTCAGAATCCTGCGAAGATTACCAAACATAGTGAATCTGTGAGTGATCAGAGCCTGGCACTCCATGTCCCTGTCTCACAGACAATAGTTGATGACTTAGAGAGAGAGCTCCGAAAATGAAAATGACAATGTAGCAAACAATGTAGCAAACAATGTAACAAACAATGTAACAAACAATGTAGCAAACAATGCAACAAACAAGGTGCAAACAAGGTAGCAAACAATGTAGCAATGCCTGGTCAGCCACCCCTCAAATACTCGAGGGATAAACTTAGACGACCTCAAGGCAATAACCCATGTAAGGTCATCCCATCCGCACCCAGTGAGGATCTCCACATTTGTGGCAGTCCCCAAGCACCCCAGGCTCTCAGGGCAGCCGCTAGACCCCATCCCACCCCCATGTTTGCCGTAAACGTAGGAGAGGATGCAAAATTCAGGCCCTGGATTCCAACACCTGTAAAAAGGCTTCTGCTAACCAAGGGCTGAGGATATGCTTGTGTCTTTCCAGAGAATGCAGAACAGCCCATTTGGGTACCAGCCAGAAACATCAAGCCTGCAACTGACAGCCAACCAGAACCAGCTGAATAAGACTGAGAGTCCACCTTGTTAGCAGACACACCTGCCCTATCATCCTACCCTGAGAAACTGCCCATAGCCACATCCGTTACTGTTTTATACCGTACTAGCTCTGGTCAGCCACTCAAACAGCCCACAGCCTGTACACGGTCATGCCATTCCTGATTACCACTGTTCCTCATTCCTACCCCTATCTGAGCAAGCACTCCTGTGGTCTCCCATTTTGAGTGCTGGTTAGTCAATGATGGGTAAGATCCCCTGGGGGACAACCTAAGACAGGCACAGCTGCATATGGAGACCACATGGAAATGGGGTCAACAATGGTATGGCCAAGAATCATGCCTCCTGTTGCTCAAAAATAAACAAAAAGGGGGAAATGTGGTGGAATGAGAAGGTGAAAAGGTCATGCCAAGATGGCCGCTGACAACAGAAACTGCCTGGCAACAGGCCGTGATTGCATGGCTTCGGAAACCACATGACAACAGAGCCTGACTGACAACAGGCGGTGATTGGTTGGGGCATAGACCGTCCCTTGACCAGATTGGCTGGTCTTGACTATATAAGATGTTATTCCAACTGTAATAAATGAGTCTATAGGCTGCTCACCTCAAGCCCGCTTTCACCCGACTCTAGGGGTCTGTGTGGTGACTCCCCACCTCTTGCCCCCACCACGCTCCTCCTCTCAGAACGAATCCTCTCAGAAGAAATCAACTGCAACAACTCACAAACAAACCCACACACAGTCATAGACACAACCCCTCACTGACACACAGTGACACAGACACACACATGCACACACACAAGATATACAGAGACCCACCCACATCCACACAACTCACACACACTCGCAAAGACACACCCATTCACACAGATTCACACACGCACACACTTACACACATCAGTTCAGCATTTCAACGTGCAGACACGCGAAAAGGCGGGAATCCAAGCCCGGGTCCCCCGGTTTACTGTAGTCGGACCGCTTGCGTCTGACTCGCCCCGGAGGACCGACGCCAGGGGGCGCGCTGGGCCGACTCGGCCGCTCTGTCCCCCACCCCGCACTCTCCCTTCCAGTCACGGCCCACAGCCAGCGGGGAAGGCGGAAGCCGAGGCGTCCCGGCGGGCAATCAGTCTCCGGGCGGCCTGCGGACGTTGCGGCGCGGCCTTGGGGCCGGAAGGCTGGCGCCTGGGGCGGCCTGGCCTCGGAGCGAGGTGTCGGTCCTCTCCTGGCGCTTTGGCTGAGCGGAGTCACCAGGTTCGCCTTGTTCGGCGGCCCAGCACACTTGAGCGGTGAGTCGGCCTCGGTCGCCTCCTGCCCGCAGCGCAGGCCTCTTCCAGCAGGTGAGAACATCGCCCGCGGCCCTTCGCTTCCCAGGGGAGGGGGACGCCGCCTCCCGGCCCCTCGCATCTCGGGGGTCGGGGGCGCTGCCTCAGTCCCCTCGCATCCCGCAGGTGGGACTTGTCGCCTCCCGCAGTCATGGACGTCAGCCCGCGGTCCCCTGGCTTCCCACCGGCGGGGGACTCCTCCCTGGACCCCTCGCTTCCCGCGGGTGGGCAGTCCTCCCCGGGTCCCTTGGCCACCTGCCTCTGCTCTCTGCACTCCCCGGAGAAAATCCCACGCCAGTCCCCTTAGTCCTCTCTCCCCTCATCTCGCGTTTTCCACTTTATAGTAAAGGAAATTGCCTCCTGGATTTTCCCGTCCTTCGAAGCCATTGCCAGGTTAAACCTTAAAAAGGAAAAAAAAATCCCTTTAAGTTCCCTCCGGCTCCGTCTGTCACTGTCATGGGAAGGCTATTTTTGGGTTCCCTGTTGAACTCGGTGGAGGTCTCGGGCAGCATTTTTTTTTTTTTTTAAAGATTCAAATGACACGAATGTTTCCTCCCCCGCCCCTGCACTGGCTGGTTCAGGCGATTGTTCCAGACGTGGTGTTGATAAAGCTGTTCCTAGTAGTTGGCTTGAGGGGAACTCCACCCGAGACTTAGGACTGTCTTGAGTGTGAACAGAAAGCACCTAAAGTATTAGCAGCTTGGATGTACGGTGTTTGTTGCTTTTGTTTCTCCGGAGAGCAGATTACTAAACGCCTTGCTACGCAGGTCTAGAAACTAGAAGTGCTTGTAAAGAGATGGCAAGTGATGGCTTCGTGGACGTGACCGTGGCGCGGCTGATCCACCCTCCTTGATCACTAGGAAGGGTGGAGGGGATGAGGTCAGGACGGTGTGGCCTCCTTTGAGTCTCCCTGCATCAGTCTGCCCCCCAGTGTTTCAGAGTCCCAAAGTGAGGTCTTTGTGTGTGTGTGTGTGTGTGTGATAGATTTGGATATGCGGTGCTGCTACATTTTTGGCCACCTGGATTTCAAAAGAAGTTGTTCAAGTGCTTGCCTCCTGGCGTAGGAAGGGGAATGCCCCTTGAATTTAGATGAAGGCACCATAGTTGAATGTTTTGCAGGAGCTCTTGGCCAGTGCAGCACATTTGCAGCTCTGTGCATATTGGCATTAGAATTTAAGAAGCTGATCAATATTTCAACTTTCTAAAAGCAGTAGCAAAGTAAAAGTAATTTCTCAGTATTTTCTTTTACATGTTTTTACTTAATATGAGCTGTGTGCTTATTCTTGTATGAATTTCAGTTGACTGAATATTGACTCATTCAAGTTACAACTTGTTGATTGCTTTAGCTTGGCACCTTCGTCTCATTAACTTATGCTTATCTTAAAGGAATAAGCTTTTGTGGCTCACTCTAGCTATCTACTCCCACCCCAGGACCTTGAACAATATTCTCTCTGCATTTGGATACCCAGATACTAATTTGTTGGTTTAAATTGTGATTTATGACAAGGCTGTTTTGAATATTTATTTATTTTGCCATCAAAATAAGTAATTAACATCCTATAGTATTTATTTAAAGTAGTGCTTACATGCTAGATTCACAACTGCAAAAGAAGAGAATTGCAATCTTGAAGATCATAACATACAAGGAATGATTTCAACTTTGTTCCATCCTTATGGAAAGCCACACTCAATGAATAGAAGAAATGCTGCAAGAAATGTTTATTTTACTAAAGCATACTAACTCTAGTTACTTTAGCTTATGTAAAGCGAAAGTTCTATCTCCAGCCTGCTTTTGTAGCAGCTCATGAAGCGGATGACTGTTACTGCATGAGGTTGACAAGAACCTGATAGAGCGTAGTATTTTGTCAGTGGGTGCCAGCTTATGTTCTTTTCCTTTCTGTAGCTGGCCCAAAGCACTTTTTGTACTTAGTGCTAATTAACATAGCTATTCATTATAGTTAAATTAGGAGAATGATTTGCTTAACTCATTGTGATCCATAAAAATAAAGGGAAAGAGTTCCTCACTTGCCAAAGAAAAAGAATAAACATAAAAATACTAAATGGCCCTCAAAATAATGTTTTCAGCTTAATTTTCCTTTTGCAGTATAGTTACATGGGACTATAGTCTGTAGACTTAGACTATGTGAAAAAATTTATTTGGAAGATATAAAGCTTCTGTGGTACTTAAAAAAAAAAAAAGATTTATTTGAGAGTTAGAGTTACACAGGAAGAGAAGGAGAGGCACAGAGAGAGGGGTCTTCCATCTGTTGGTTCCCTCCCCAGTTGTCCACAACGGCTGGAGCTGTGCCAATCCGAAGCCAGGAGCTTCTTCTGGGTCTCCCATGCTGGTGCAGGGGTCCAAGGACTTGGGCCATCTTCTGCTTTCCCAGGCCATAGCAGAGAGCTGGACGGGAAGTGGAGCATCTGGGACTTGAACCAGTGCCCATATGGGATGCCGGCACTGCAGGTGGTGGCTTTACCCGCTGTGCCACAGCGCTGGCCCCCTGTGATACTTCTTAAAGCAGGGAAAGTAATGTGAGACTGGAAGTCATCTAGATTTCTGCACTCTCTTCCCACAGCGGAGTTCCTTTTAAGGGATTCTGGCTGATTAGACAGGTCTTACTAGAAACACATTAGCTTGAAAGATTTCCTCGAACCAAAAATCTTCAAACCTTTAGAACTGAACAGGAAGGGGGGCAGTATATAGACTATCCAATAAACTGAATTTTAAACTGGACATTTGGGCAGGAAAAGTAGACATAGCTGAATTACTTTTATCTTTGCCTCCTGGATGGCATTCTGATATGTACTCCACTACCAAATAACAAATAGTGAATTCTCTTTAATAGTTATTTAGCTTAACAAAAGTAAAATAAAGACTTAAATGTACCACCCTTTGTCAAGAGAATAGAAAATGGGCTGTCTCTGGGGCCAGTGTCATGGCTCACTTGGCTAATCCTCCGCCTGTGGCACTGGCATCCCATATGGGCACCGGGTTCTAGTCCCAGTTGCTCCTCTTCCAGTCTAGCTCTCTGCTGTGGCCCTGGAGGGCAGTGGAGGATGGCCCAGATGCTTGGGCCCCTGCACCCACATGGGAGACCAGGAGGAAGCTCCTGGCTCCTGGCTTCGGGCCAGTGCAGTGCTGGCCGTAGTGGCCATTTGGGGAGTGAACCAACGGAAGGAAGACCTTTCTGTCTCTCTCTCTCTCTCTCTCACTGTCTATAACTCCACCTGTCAAAAAAAAAAAAATTAAAAAAAAAAGAGACTCGAAAATGGGCTGTCTCATATATACTGTGTTTGCAGGAATGAAAATTAAAAAGCTTTTGATACACTGGGTAACTAGCATTTTCCATCAGAGAGCCTAAGAAGTTAACAAACTTTCAACTAAGAATTCTAGGAAGTTTACCTAAGGAAGCAATCGGACACAATCCAACTGTATACAATCCAAATGGGGAGGAGAAAAACAAAGGATATAAACCCTAGTGTAGCACAACAGGGTCATTTATTAGTATAGAGGGGATCCTGTACCCTATTTTAGGGCACAAGTATGATGACTGGTTCTGTTATTCACCCTTACCTGGGCATTTGTTCCTTTCCATTCGTATAAGCCCTCCCAAGAGGCCACATTAGAAATGACAAGGTTTGGGGAACAGTTCTTAATTTTCCAAAAATATATCAAACTAAACAAGAACAAAACGCCAATGTTTTGCCTTTTTTTTTTTTCTGATTCTGTCAACCCAATGCTGTACACTCATGTTTTAATAAGATGTAATAAGTAGGTGTGTCAGCACCTTAGTCTGGTGTAAATAAAGGGAAATAAAATTTAAGTAGGCCGGCGCCGCGGCTCACTAGGCTAATCCTCCGCCTTGCGGTGCCGGTACACCAGGTTCTAGTCCCGGTCGGGGCGCCAGATTCTGTCCCGGTTGCCCCTCTTCCAGGCCAGCTCTCTGCTGTGGCCAGGGAGTACAGTGGAGGATGGCCCAGGTGCTTGGGCCCTGCACCCCATGGGAGACCAGGAAAAGTACCTGGCTCCTGGCTCCTGCCATCGGATCAGCGCGGTGCGCCGGCTGCAGCGCACCGGCCGCAGCGGCCATTGGAGGGTGAACCAACGGCAAAGGAAGACCTTTCTCTCTGTCTCTCTCTCTCACTGTCCACTCTGCCTGTTAAAAAATTAAAAAAAATTTAAGTGCCACTTCAGGACACAAATTCATCAAAACACAGCACAGTACAAAGTGCATGGATTCTGGGGTCAGGGAGACTTGGGTTCTGATTGCAGTTCTGTTATTTATTAGTTGGATAATTGTGCAAGTTACTTAACTTTTTTAAGCTTCATATTTCCTCCTTTATGATAAGTGGAAACAATAAAACTATTAAATAAAATACCATATAAAGTTGCACATAATCATGGCACTACATCCTTACTGCCAAGCAGTAAGTGCTTAATTAATTGAATCCTTTCAGTAACTCCCAGGTGGGTTCTGTTGTCATCAGCATTTTATAGATGAGTAAGCACAGAAAGGTTATACAAGAGGATCTTCAGGACATTCGTGAAATGTGTGTTATGTAGTTATTCTTAAGTGTTGAAATTTAACTGAAATGTGATCCCTGTTAAATATAAGAGTGGGAATAAGAGTGGGAAGAGATGTACAATTTGGGACATGCTCAAGCTGACTTGCCCCAAATCGTAGAGTTAGAAACATACCAGGGGATTCCAATTCAATCCCATCAAGGTGGCATGTACCAATGCCATCTCTCTAGTCCAAGTGATCAATTTCTGTTCACAATTGATCATAATGAAAGGACTAAGAGTCAAAGGGAGCACATAAACAAGTCTAGTGCCTGCTAATGCTAACCGATAGAATAAATAAAGAGAAGAGCGATCCAACATGGGAAGCGAGATACACAGCAGTCTTATAGAATGGCAGATGTCCTAAACAGCACTCTGGCCTCAGAATCAGCCCTAAAGGCATTCAGATCCGGCTGAAAAGCCCATGAGAGTATTTCAGGCGTGGAAAGCCAAGACACTCTGGGGAAAAAAAAAAAAAAAAAACACCTAAATGAAAGATCTCTGTGAGTGAGATCCCAGTGGAAAGAACAGGTCTTCAAAGAAGGAGGTACCTTTCTCTGAAGGGAGGAGAGAACTTCCACTTTGACTATGACCTTGTCTAAATAAGATAAGAGTCGGTGAACTCAAAAGGCTTCCATAGCCTTGGAAACTCATGACTGGAGCATAGGGAGATTACTGATGCCATAAACAGGAGTGTCAATTTGTAAAGTCAACAACAGGAGTCACTGTGCACTTACTCCTCATGTAGGATCTCTGTCCTTAATGTGCTGTACATTGTGATTTAATGCTATAACAAGTACTCAAACAGTATTTTTCACTTTGTGTTTCTATGTGGGTGCAAACTGTTGAAATCTTTACTTAATGTATACTAAACTGATCTTCTGTATATATAGAAAATTGAAAATGAATCTTGATGTGAATGGAAGGGGAGAGAGAGCAGGAAAGGGGAGGGTTGCGGGTGGGAGGGAAGTCATTGGTGGGGGGGAGCCAATGTAATCCATAAGCTGTACTTTGGAAATCTATATTCATTAAATAAAAGTTAAAAAAAAAAAAGAAAAAAAAATGCGTGTTATGGAAAAGCGATGCTAGAATATCAGTTTTTTGGGGTTTTTCTTGCACTAAAGTAAGCTTATCATTTAACTTAGTTTTCTATGAACCTTCTGAAGTGCCCTCATATGACTTGCCCAGGTCATACACCGAGGGATGGCAGAAGAGTTAAACCCAGATCATCCAGTTGTAGCTCTTCACCACTTCACAGTGCTGCCTTTCCAGCCAGAACAGTGCCATGGTCTTTGTAGGTGCTCATCATAGTGGTACTCAAATTCTTGTGGACAATAGAAAGGTATTTGTAATGGTGAAGAAAAAAAAAATGAGGCCCACTCTAGCCTCTATTAGGAAAAGCAGCAGCCAGGATTTTTATATAAAAATGAGATGGCCAGGGAGATCATTGCCTACTGTATCACCTGAAGCCTTGCATTGCTTCTGGAACTATATCTGGCACATTAGGACATTTCAGAGACATGGTTACATGAGCTGTGAATTATTTTTAGATGTTGGTTTCCTACTTGTAAGAGCCTTGACAGTTTAGGATTTGAAGATATCCCTTCTCATGAAAGCCATAGTTTTCCACCAACAAAACCTCACTTGTTTTTCCAGTCATCAATAATGAAACATAGTCATTTGATCTGACTGGAGGCAGAAGAACATAAAGATACACTTTTTTAATTCCATTCTTTCCACATAGTAGAAATCCCCAAGATGAGCATTTGGAAGTCTTCATATAGTTTTAGACCTAGAAGAGGAAACCAAGATCCAAAGAATGAAGTAACTTGTCCCAGATCACAGATCCAGTAGTGGCACATGGTCACCCGATTCCTTGTGCACTGTTCTTCCTAACTCTGCCTGCTCGCTGTACTTTGCAGCTCAAGAAGCTTGAAGGAACAGCATTACTATGATTAAGTTCTTCAGCAAATGCTTAGTGAACACCTATTAAATGAAAAAATCTTGTACCATGCACTGAGGGTATGGAAATGAAATTAAATTCCTGTCACAGGAACCAGACATATAAACAGATAATTATGATCTGGATGAGTATTACAATTGAAGTACTTTTCCTTTTTTAATCTTATATTCTGGAATTCTGCTGGATCATAAACTCCTTAACACAGCCGCCTTTGCATGCTCCAAATGCTTCGCATAAATGATGGTAAATATTTATTGCAGGAGAGAATCAGGTAACTTATTAGAAAATAGCAGTCACGAAGCAAAATTCAAGACATGTTTTAAGTTTTCTATAAATGACATTAACACAGTTAATGGACATAATCTATAAGTTGACTTGCATAGGTAAATTATAATATGTTTGTATGTACATGTATGTTAAGGCCCCCTTTTTTTTTCTTATTTTTACAGAGCACTTGGTAATTAAATTACAATGAGTCTGCTAAACTGTGAAAACAGCTGTGGATCTGGCCAGTCTGAAAGTGACTGCTGTGCGGCCATGGCCAGCTCATGCAGTGCTGCAGCCAAAGATGACAGTGTGAGTGGGACTGCCAGCACGGGGAACCTTTCTGGCTCGTTTGTGGAAGACATCCAGGGATATGATGTGGAGTTCGACCCACCCCTGGAAAGCAAGTATGAATGCCCCATCTGCTTAATGGCGTTACGGGAAGCAGTGCAGACCCCATGCGGCCATAGGTTCTGCAAAGCCTGCATCATCAAATCAATAAGGTATGAATGATGTCCTGTAACAAAACCAAATGCAGAGAACATGATTGTATAGAACACAGGGCATCCCAAAGGTAGTCTCATGCATGAAATGCTGCTTAGAGAAAAAGCACTGAGAAACTTAGAAACTTAGATTCTTATCCCAGTTCCTATTACAATACAAATGGTGACTTCTGTCTCCTTCCCTGCCATGACCCTCAGATAAATAAGAAAATAAATAGTCATCCTAAAGCAGTCTTAAAGCAGACAAACATATGACTCTGTGCTTTGAGAAAATAATATTTTTAAATGTATCTTAAAGGATGGTGCTACTAGAATATGGTAATCTCAGACATACAAAGAGAGCTAATTCTGTAAATGATCAGTTATTTTTTAAAGATTTATTTATGTATTTTAAAGGCAGAGTTGGGGTAGGGGGTGGGGGTTGTGGGCCATCTTCTGCTACTTTCTCAAGTGCATCATGCAGGGAGCTGGATGGGAAGTAGAGTATAAACATTTTTTTAAATAAAATATTAACTGAAAGCTCTACCTTTATAAAACATCCATAATCAAACCTCAGTGCTTCTACTGTGCTGCCCTGTTAGGACTCACCATCAGCTCTACCAGGCCTCCCTCCTACTCTTGATGTCTTCCTGTCTATTCCCGTTACAGCAGCCAGAGTGAACCTGATAAAATAAGTAAGGTGATGTCATGTCCGTTCATAACGTTGCAGTGGAGGAATAAAAGCCAAAGTCCTTAGAAGGCCCTGTATGATAGGCCTATGATTTATTTTCTGATTTCATCTCTCTACTATTCTTATTCTTCCACACAGTCCCTCTTTGCTGTCACTTGAACATGTCATGCACATCCCTGCCTGTGCATGGCTTTAACTGTTCTCTCTGCTTAGAAAACTATCTCCTTCTCATAGGTCCCCTGGCTGCCCTATTTTTATCACAGCATGCCTCTACCCTCCTTATCTCCTACCCTACTCCCAGTTTCCCTTACTAAGCCCTACTTTCCTTTTATTCCCCTAATACTTTTGCAATCTGAAACACCAGATAATTTGTGTGTTTATTGCGTACTCCCCCACTAGAGGATAAGCTCCTTAAGAGCAAAAGTTTAGATTTATTTGATTTGATACTTCTCAAATGCTGGGAATGTGCTTGACCCACCAGAAGTACTCAGTAAGTTATGGTTACTTTAACTGAATGACATCCTCACAATTGACTCAACTTCTTCATTTCCTAGGAGATAGATACATTCTACTATGTTTAAAAGGTCAATGGGAGAATGGGAGTATTTTCAGGTGATTAAGGAGTTCTTTTTTTTTTTTTTTTTTTTTTTTTTTTTTTTTTGACAGACAGTTAGAGAAAGGTCTTCCTTCACCGTTAGTTCACCCCCAAAGTGGCCTCTACGGCCGGCATGCTGCGCCAATCCAAAGCCAGGAGCCAGGTGCTTCCTCCTGGTCTCCCATGCGGGTACAGGACCCAAGGACCTGGGCCATCCTCCACTGCCTTCCCAGGCCACAGCAGAGAGCTGGACTGGAAGAGGAGCAACCGGGACAGAATCCAGCGCCCCAACCAGGACTAGAACCCAGGGTGCCGGCACCGCAGGTGGAGGATTAGCCTAGTGAGCTGCAGCGCTGGCCTAGATTAAGGAGTTCTATACAAGACAAAAATCTTTGGATCAGCGCAGCATGCCAGCCACAGTGCGCCAGCCATAGTGGCTATTTGGGGGGTGAACCAATGGAAGGAAGACCTTTCTCTCTGTCTCTCTCACACTAACTCTGCCTGTCAAAAAAAAAAAAAAAAAAAAAAAAGGACACATTTGTATTCTTCAATAAGTAGCCATCTAGGTAGCCTGATAGGATCATTCTTTAGTGGGTTAAATCTTCCATCTCTAGTTATTCATTAATCTGCTAAGGTTTTTTTTTAATTTTTTATTTGAGAAGCAGAATAAGAAGAAAAGACAGAGATCTTCCATCCGCTGGTTCATCCCTAAATCGCCATAACATTTTGGGGTAGGCCAGGCTGAAGCCAAAAACCTAGAACTCCATCCAGGCCTCCTGCATAGGTGGCAGGGGCCCAAGTACTTGAGCCATCTTCTGCTGCTTTCCCAGGTGCATTAGTAGGGAGCTGCAGGATCAGAAGTAGGGCGGCAAGGACTCGAACCAGCACTCATAGGATGCTGGCATTGCAAGCAGCAGTTCAACCCACTGCACCACAGCAGTGGCCCTAGTCTCCTAAGTTTTTAATCTCAATTTTTACAATAACTTATGTATAAAACTTGAATTAATTAGGTTAACTGTCTGTACTTGGGACCTGGTTTAATCTGAGTTACAGGGGAACATGGTTCTTGTTTCAATTTTGGGGGGAGAAATATGTTGCCCAGTTTTGAATTAACAAGGTCTGTGTAGTTCTTGAGCTTAGCACAGTTGATATTTGGGAATGTGCTGTGTATTGTAGAAACTTTGGCAGCATCTCTGAACTCAGTTCACCAGTTGCCAGTAATTATCTCCCTCTCCAGTTGTGAGACCCAGCATGCTCCCTGGAAACAATTTGCCTCTGGTTGAGACCACTGGTTTAGGATATTCATGAGAGTGTTGTTAAAGACTCAACTTTTCCCCTTTTTGTTACGATTTGTATTTATGTTGTATTTAAGTTCAAATAATAACCATACTATAGATGGGTGACTTTTCTTCACTTCCCAGATACTGCAATAGCCAGAACTGAACCAGGCCAAAGCCAGAAGCCTAGTGCTTGATCCAGGTCTGCTGCATGGGTGGCAGGGACCAAACTGCTTAAAACATTACCTGCTGCCTCCCAGGGCATTAAGCAGCTGGAATTGGGAGCAGAGCCAGGAATGGAACCCAGGCACTCAATATAAGCATCTTAATTGCTGCACCAAAACTTCACTGCACTATCAGTTTTTAATAGCATGAAAGTAGTAGGACGGGGGTCTGAAAAGGAAGTAAAACCCACAAAAGGAAGTCTGAGGCTTTTAGTATTTTTTTTTAAATCTCCCTCTAAGCTAGAAATGACCTCTTATTTTGCCTTTCATGTTGTTAAAGGAACTCCTCTGAAATTTCTCAATGACTATAATCTTTTAAGGCATCAAAATTCATCTCAGTCTAACTCCATTTTCTGTTGGAGTGATTGCTAGTACTGTGGGTAATGTTTTTCCATTTACTTAATAAAGTTCTTTCTCTTAAGCATGGATCACTTTAAGTTTATGGTACGTATTTCAGTAAGTTTGTTATGACTTGCTATGCTCTGTAGAGAAATGTGACAGTGTAACAACACTACAGTCAGAGAGGCCCCATGAAAATAAAAGTCTCTCACCTTTATTGTTCTGAGCCACTGGACACAGACACCAGTTTTCAGCAACCTTTTTACCTACTATAGCAACTTGAACTGTTGAGTACAGAGATACGTAGCAAATGTCTGTGGGATTGATTAAGTCTCCTGTATTCTACCTGACCATCACGTTTTGTGAGTGAAGATTGAGACTTCCCAAAAAGTCAAAGGGAAATGACACACCCAGGATTCCTGAGGATGGTTTTTCCATCATAAGACACAATAAACCACTGGAAAGTGCACCCTAGATATACAGATAAAGGGAAGTGTTTGTTGCCTATGAACTAGAGTGTTACAGTGACTGTTTCAGAATAAACTGTAAAATGCTGCTAACCAATTAACATTTTACTTACTGACTGCACAGTACCCTATAGACATGTTACTAGTATTGTGGACAGCATATTCCATTTTACTAGTCTACCATACAGATGCTGAATGAATGGGTCAGCCAGAATTCCCATTCTTAACTTTCACCTCATTTTAGGCCAATCTAAATATTATTTTATTCATTTTTTTCTCTTTTTCTTAGCTGAATCTAGCCCCCAAGCTGTAATCTCATAGTTTGATAGGTGACGTGGTGTTAGTTGTACTCATTTCATAAAAGAACAATTTGTAATCCATCCATAGAAGGACGGTTTATTTTGGTATATTATAGAGTATAATGTGTTAAATTTTTTTCCATAGAAAATAATAATTGAGGATTAATAGGTGGTGAATTAAAGTTTGAATTTTCTAATGTGTATGTTGAAATCTGCTTGTATTTATTTTACCTTTTAGGGATGCAGGCCACAAATGTCCAGTTGACAATGAAATACTATTGGAAAATCAGCTATTTCCTGACAATTTTGCAAAGCGAGAGATTCTTTCTCTGACAGTGAAGTGTCCAAATGAAGGTTGTTTGCACAAGATGGAACTGAGGCATCTTGAGGTACTAAAGTTATTTTCTAAGAACTGTTGGTGTGTGTGAAAGATGATTCCTAAAGAATAGGGACTTTGCTGTATCCATCTCTGTGTTACCAGTACCTGACATAGAATTGGTTAATTAATTCCAGCTGAATTAGTAAACACCAGCCTCTGGATTATTAAATATAAATATAAGTAGAAATGACATTTCCCATTCCATCTGCCCTGGCTTTGCCCTAGGAGTAATAAAACAGAAGTTCCTATTATTCTACAAGTTTTTGGGGTGAACATTATCTTTAGTAAAACTGAGCCAAGAGCCTTTCACATATAAATGTCACTTTTTTTTTTTAAGATTTATTTATCTATTTGAAAGTCAGAGAGAGAAGGAGAGGTGTGGGGGGGGGGGGGAGTAGAGGTCTTCCATCTGCTGATTCATGAGAGAGAGAGGTCTTCCATCCTCTGATTCATTCCCCAGATGGCCACAATGGCTGGAACTGCACCCATCTGAAGCCAGGAGCTTCTGGGTCTCCATGCTGGTGCAGGGGCCCAAGGACTTGGGCCGTCTTCTACTGCTTTCCCAGGCCATAGCAGAGCTGGATTGGAAATGGAACAGTCAAGACACAAACTGGTGCCCATGTGGGGTGCTGGCACTGCAGGCGTTGGCTTTACCCACTATGCCACGGTGCCGGCCTCTATACAAATGTCACATTTTAATCAAATAACTTCATTTCTTGCATTTTGAAATAAGCATTAAGTCCCATGTAGCCATCCTCTTAGTTATCCTTATCATTTTTTTTCTGTATTTTTCTAAGTTATACTTTTTACTCTGAACTAAGTAGCGTACTCCTGTAGTTTGAAATCAACTAAATTCAAATAATATAATTTACTTGTAAACAAATTAGTTCTTAGGTTGGTGTTTTTAATTTTTACTAAAAATTAAGTATTATTAAAAATGTTCTATTTGAAATTAAATGTTCAAGACAAATTTGCCGCTTGCTCTTTTCCCTTAGCTCTTGTTGGAAGAGTGTCCCTTTTGACATAGTACTGAATTAACAGTCAGAAAACTGATTGCTTTCCATTTCTCTTCCCTAATTGGATGCATGAATTTCAGAATCCCTTTCTTCATAATGTGAATGATTCTGTGGTGTGTACTAGACAGAATAGGTTCAGTTGTCAATTCTGTGAAAGAGAACAGGGTATTCTTAGGTTATCTTTAGAAAACTTCTTCAGAGTTGACAAATACTAATCAATTATTTTTTCCTTACTGTAGGATCATCAAGCACATTGTGGGTTTGCTCTTGTGAATTGTCCTCAGTGCCAACGTCCTTTCCAGAAATGCCAAATTAATACTCACATCCTCAAGGATTGTCCAAGGAGACAAGTTTCTTGTATAAACTGTGCGGTATCCATGGCATTTGAAGATAAAGAGGCATGTACCAACTTGGATTTGTTAATTCCAGTACTTAAAAAAGAAAGACTTCAACTCAAGAGTCTGCATAATCAATTTTGGAGAAGCTGATTTTGAAGAAAGAAAGTTCAATAAGCGATTTTAGTGATTGCTTATAAGTATAGAGTTTAATTTGCATATGCTTGTTAGGAAACATTGTTTATATTAGTTTCCTACCACTACTGTAGATCTGCAAGGAACAAAAGCTTCTAGGAAAGGCATATGCTGTTTGATATTTTAATGACCGATCTTGGATTGGAGACAAATAAGTTAGCATGTTTATAGTGAAAGACTTACGTAGAATTGTTTTGAAAAAGAGAATGGGTTGTTAGAATTTTTATGATGAATAAATGAAATCCCATAAAGTGTGTTCCCTTGTACTATAGGATATATTCATTTTTCAGTAAGTATGCCTTACCTCAATTTAAAGGTTTATCAAGGTACCTGAGAGCATCAACTTGACAGAGCAGTTACTCCATTCAGAAACTAAAATATAGGGAGGTTAAGTAGTTTTGTATTGTTATTATTGTCACTAGCAAAGCTAACACTGAAATTCTAATCCTTGATTCCTAACCTATGTCTTTGTTACTATAATAACCTAAGTATAACTTAGATTCTTCTATAACTTATTTCTTTAAACTTGTAATTATAAATTTGTTTTGATAATTTTTCCTACTTTCTTAGGAAATTAAATGCATTAATTATTTTTTAAAACTCAACTAATTTGCTAAAAATTTAGGGAATTCTCTGTCATGATTAGAGCAAATTGACATCTCCTTCCTTAACTTCAGTAAATTAGATGGACTTAACTATTTCTCAGTGCATCAGCTAAACTGAAGTCCTTGTATTTCAGAAAACAAGATCACCCTTTTGGGGCTTACAGGAAGCTGAGCACCCAAAGTCTCATGCCCTGATATAGCTTTGTACTTTAATCTGCTGACAAGTTTTAATTAAATTGTCATACTGTTGAAAATTTTTGGAAGAAGTTTGCTTTTACAGAAGTATACTGTTGGTACATGGTGCCCAAGCTAGTCACAGATACTATGCCACCAGTTGAAAGAAAGTGATTTCTAAAATTCTTTCACATACTACCATATTCCTTTAAAAAACTAGAAGGTTGAATGAATCTCATTACATTGGCAATAGGAGAGAAAATTTTTTTGTATATTCTCACATTTTTGCTTCATATAACTTGATATTCTTAGTTTGTACACAGTGAGAAAAATACTTTTTATATAAATGACCTGTGTTTCTGATTTTTCAGAGTTTCATGTGCTTATCTTTCTCTCCTAAAATTTAGATCCATGACCAGAACTGTCCTTTGGCAAATGTCATTTGTGAATACTGCAATACCATGCTCATCAGAGAACAGGTATAATGACTTTTTAATAAATTACTATTTCCAAAAATAGTTTAAAGAAGCAAGTTAGTTTTTTAATTTAAAAAAGTTAGGCAAAGTGAATATAGTTGAAGAAGTATTTGAGCTGTGTGAAAATATTTCATATAAATTAATTAAAAACTTACAAAAGAACAAAAAATCCAGCCCTTTGCAGTACTTAAAATTCTTAGTCAATAGCATAATACTTGTTTATGTGAATTCATAAAAATTCCCGAGAAAAACAGGTAATTTTGAGGTAAAAATAATCAGATGAAAGAGTCCCATTTAAAGAAAGAAAAACCATGTTTACACAGTGTAGAATGCAGATCTAGGTATCCAGAGACCAGCTGAGAGAGGGAACAATGAAGTAGAAGCAAGCAGTCTATTCAATAGCAGAGCAGTACTTGTAGTTGCAGCCCCTAAGGCATTTAGGGAAGTTTTGAGATTCTCAGAATTTGTTTTCCCTATGTTGAGTTGTCCTAGAGGCCACTGACAGGACATTGTCAGAACTGGTAATAATAAAAAGCAAAACAAACTATACATTTGGATTACTAATAAAGAAAGGAAAATTCCATCCGATTGCTATCTTCTGACATTTGGGGAGTTAACCAAAATATGTGACTATTATTCACTAAATATTCACCTAAAAATTTGCAATCCCAGAGATAATTATTGATTACCTTATTAGGAAGAAGCCAGCAAGACCTGTCACTTTACCGAACTTTTTCATTTGTCTGTAACGCGAGTCATTTAGTTTTTTTTCCTTACAAAGCCTTAATTTGAAGGTGTTAAACTTTTTTCACTTAGAAAATCCCATCTGCCTGGTTTTCTTTTTTTGCTCTGTCAATATATAAAGGAAGCTATGTAGCACATTTAAACCTAGCAGAAATAAAATATAATGTAGGACAAAACCCTAGGCTAAGAATCAGAACATTTTGATCCTGGTTGTGCCATTAATTTGCTTGCTGATCTCTGGCAAGTTGATCAGTGATCAAACCTGCCCACCAGCCAAATCTGGCCCTGAGCTTTTTTTATAAATCAAGTTTTATTGCTACACATCCATGCCCATGTTTTTATTTGTATGGCTGATTTTTCACATTTATTATCTGACCTGTAACAAAAAAGTTTGTTGATCCCTGTTCTAGATGGTTTGCCCTTAAGAAATGAAGGATTGGGACCAGCATTGTGGTGTAATGGGTAAAGTCATCGCCTGCATCGCCAGTATCCCATATGGGCACCGTTTCATGTCCTAGCTGTTCTACTTCTGATCCAGCTCCCTTTTAATGGCCTGGGAAAAGCAGCAGTTGGCCCAAATGTTTGAGCCCTTGCCACTCATTTGGGAGACCCAAATGAAGCTCTTGGCTTAGTCCTGGTCCAGCCTTGGTTGTCTATGCATCTGAGAAGTGAACCAGCAGATGGAAGACCTCTGCCCCTCCCTCCCTCCCTCCCTCTCTCCCTCCCTTCCTCTCTCTCTCTCTCTCTCTCTCCCCCCCCCCACCTCTGTAACTCTGACTTCAAATAAATAAATCTTTATTTAAAAAAAAAAAAAAAAGAGCAAGAGAAATGAAGGATTTGGCCTGGTGTTGTGGTATAGTGGGGTAAACTAATGCCTACAACACCAGGCATCCCATATGGGTGCCAGTTCAGGCCCCAGCTGCTCCACTTTTAATCCAGCTCACCTGGGAAAACAGTGAAAGATAGCCTAAGTGCTTGGGTCCCTGCCACCCACATGGGAAACCTGGATGGAATTCCTGGCTTTGGGTTGGCCCAGCCCCTTCTTCCTTCTTTTTCTCTCTGTCTCTGCCTTTCAAGTAAATAAGCCTTTTAATGAGAAATGAAAGAGTGGGTTCAGTGATCTCTAAACTTTCTGCTTGAAATAGCAACTATACAACAATAGCCAAAGTAAATTTCTTTTTTAATTTTTATTTTTTAAAGATTTATTTTGAAAGGCAGAGTTACAGAGAGGGAGAGACATAGATCTTTCATTCACTGGTTCACCTCCCAGTGGCCACAACAACTAGGGCTGGGAAAGGCTGAAGCCAGGAGCTTGGAACCTCATTCAGGTCTCCCACTTGGGTGCAGGGGCCCAAGCACTTGGGCCGTCCTGGCTGCTTTCCCATGTACATTTCAGGAATTGAAAATAGAGCAGCCGGGACGTGAACCTGCACTCATATGGGATGCAGGCATTGGCATGCCAGGGCTTAACCCACTACACTACAATGCCAACCCCACCAAAGTAAATTTCTAAAGAGAATTTGGCAACAGTTTCAAAGAACATGATTCTTTGTAATGAATCTCACCTTAAGGCTGAGACTTTTTAAGCTTTTATTAAATGTGTTTGAAGTGCATTTCTTATACCTGAGTCTCCCTAGTATAGCTAAAATATGCTTGGATTAGCAAAAGGTAAAATGATTTATGAAAGTTGGTCATGAGGGAGGCAATGAATATAGTCCGTGGCTTCAGTGCATTTAAGTAAACTGGTGTCCATTGAATACCCTAGACCACAGTGAGACTAGATTGAGTTGTTGAATCTCCAGTTGTTTTCAGAGGGTGTTTTTCTCTGAAATGGCACTAGAGGGTGCCAGTTCCCAGCAATAGGAACAAATTTATTTCCTTGAAGTGAATTTTGAGTGATTTATAACTTTTAGATGTAAATATTTTAAACTCTATGGACTATGTTTCTTTTTCAAAGGTTTATTTATTTATTTATTTGAAAGGCAAAGTTACAGAGAGGCAGAGAGAGAGGTTTTCTATCTGCTGGTTTACTCCCCAGATGGCCGCGATGGCTGGAGCTGTGCCAATCCGAAGTCAGGAGCCAGGAGCTTCTTCCAGTCTCCGACTCTCCTATGTGGGTGGCTGGGGCCCCAAGACTTGGGCCATCTTCCACTGCTTTCCTAGGCCACAGCAGAGAGCTGGATCAGAAGTAGAGCAGCTAGGACTTAAACCAGAGTCCGTATGGGATGCTGGCACTGCAGGCAGTGGCTTTACCCAGTACGCTACAGCACTGGCCCCTATGGGCTACGTTTCTATCACAGCTACTCAACTTGGCCAGTGTAGTGCAAAAGCAGCCATAGGCAATATACAGTTTTGTTTATATGAAATGTAATTTTCATTCTAACATGCAGGTAAAAACATTTTTCACCCTGTGTTCTGATTTTCAGATGCCTAATCATTATGATCTAGACTGCCCTACCGCTCCAATTCCATGTACATTCAGTACTTTTGGCTGCCATGAAAAGGTAAGTTACATTTTCTTTAATTCTTGATAAGTCAAAAACATAGAGTTATGTAGTCTTGTGAAGAATACCAACAAAAACATAAATGTTTATGAAACAGTGTGACAAATCGTATAATGTAGAGCCAGATGTGAATGCTGCGGACAGAAGCAAAGGCACATTTAGCAGTGCTTAACGCTTCCAGGCTGACTTGGCACAACACGATGTTTGCATTAATGGATTAAAAATTTTTGGTGATTGTACTCAGAGGGAAAGGATTTAGGAGAAGGGAATGTTTGAAGATAATGGAGAAAGGGGATAGTGAATAAGACCTCGGAGATATCCAAAAGAGGTAGTGCCACCATTCATCTTAGACAAGAGGGAGTCATCTCAGAGTCAGGAAAGAGTGATGTAGATTCTGATATTGGTGTAGGTAGGAATGAGATGTATCTGACTGAAAGCTGACAGAGTATTTGCCAAATAGCCTCCGTGTTTCAGAGAATTGAGAGGCAGGATCATCCCCTTGAATGGAATCTGATGAAGTGGAATAGTAAAGGAAGTGATCATGGTACTTAGAACCTCTTTTAGCCTGACTAGGTCTTTATCCTACTTTTCAAAGCATCGATTCCCCACCTAAGGCTTCTGCTTGATTTTTTAGATGCAGAGGAATCACTTGGCACGCCACCTACAAGAGAAAACCCAGTTGCACATGAGAATGTTGGCCCAGGCTGTTCATAGTTTGAACCTTGCTTTAACTCCCATACCTCCACGTGATGTGCCTCAGTACGATGTTCCTTCTCAGCCCCGGGTTCCCTCCGGGTATCCAGAGGGCCACAACTTCCAGGAAACTATTCAGCAGTTAGAGGGTCGCCTTGTAAGACAAGACCATCAAATTAGGGAGCTGACTGCAAAAATGGAAACTCAGAGCATGTACGTAAGTGAGCTCAAAAGAACTATTCGAACCCTTGAGGACAAAGTTGCTGAAATTGAAGCACAGCAGTGTAATGGAATTTACATCTGGAAGATCGGCAACTTTGGGATGCATTTAAAATCTCAAGAAGAGGAGAAACCTGTTGTTATTCACAGCCCTGGATTCTACACGGGCAAACCCGGATACAAACTCTGCATGCGCTTGCACCTTCAGTTACCAACTGCTCAGCGCTGTGCAAACTATATATCCCTCTTTGTGCATACAATGCAAGGAGAGTATGACAGCCACCTTCCTTGGCCCTTCCAGGGTACAATACGCCTTACAATTCTTGATCAGTCTGAAGCACCCATAAGGCAAAACCATGAAGAGATAATGGATGCCAAACCAGAGTTACTTGCCTTCCAGCGGCCCACAATTCCACGGAACCCAAAAGGTTTTGGCTATGTAACTTTTATGCACCTTGAAGCCTTACGACAAAGAACCTTTATAAAGGATGATACGTTATTAGTGCGCTGTGAAGTCTCTACCCGCTTTGACATGGGTAGCCTTCGGAGGGAGGGTTTTCAGCCTCGAAGTACTGATGCAGGGGTATAGCAACTTCTCATTTGTTCAGAACAACTGTCTGAAGAAAACAGTGCCTTTCCTTGCTCTGTTCTCAAACATGTCAAGCAGAAAAAAAGGGGTGGGGGGGGAGGCAGTGGGAAAGATGGAATGCCCACCAGTGAATGTTGTTAGAAAGGTCACTTACCACTTCTGATACAAGTGTCTGAGGCAGTTTTTCCTCGGGAATCTACGCTTTGAAATAGATTCCATCCGAAGTGCCTGTGGCATGTGGCCGCAGCTGTTCCATCAGTCAGTATACCTCTCTTGTACTTTCATGGGCTTTTTCTCCAGTATGTTTCATGTCAAAAAGTCCACAGACTGCTGAAACTCAAATCTTTAGTAACAATGGACTTTCCTTAAAACTGCAGCTTATTTTTATAGCGTTATATGTAATATATTAAACATGAGAATCACTACTGCCTTGTGCTAGTGCCAGCGAGAAGGGTAACTGCTCTGGAGAGTTGAGTTCTCGTTTTAATTGACCTCCTATAGATTTCAGAGGATTTGAACCAAAATCCTTGGAAAGCTTAAGTTCTCATTTTCCCCCATCCGAGGTGTCAACTAAGGATATTCAGGGACTAGTTTAAAACCCTAAATACAACCTTACTTATTTAGTGTAACATGTTGTCTGTCACTTGTTTAAGTGGTCTATTCTGCCTTATGTTTCCTTGAGACCACAAAGTAGCATTTCTGTAGGGTTTGTAACGTTGGGAACCAGCAAATATGAGCTGCTCAGGTTGTGTTCCTTGAACCCTTGGTCTGTTTAGTGCAGAGTGAATTCCACAGCCTTGTACGTGTCTTCTGTTTTTACACGCAGTCACCAACATAAAAATGAAGTGATTCAGCATTGCTGGTGACAGAAGCTAGATGCACAGAAATTTTTCTGCTGTTTTGAATACTCTCTGGTTTAGTTCAATAGACCGAAATAAATTGATTTCCTGAAAAGATAATTTCCTAAAACTTTCCATCTTTGGAGGTGCCTGAGGGGTCACTAAACTGAGATTGGAAGACATGGTGGTCGTCTCACAGCCTTGCCTGAGTAGGTCCTCTATCCAGCAGGTCGCAGGAGGGGCCTGTGTAATATACTGAAGTAGCCAGATGTTCCTAACATGGATAGGTGGGTTTTCTGCCACTGTGTATTTGTTGAAGGCCTGTAGATGTAAAATGTGCTGGTATCTAGTTCTCAGAGCCCCACAGCTAGGCACTTAAAAAGAATTTAAGAGGTTCCATCCACGATGCTGTCTACATAAGGTTTTCAAAAGCTGTGTGGTCATGAGAGATGGTATGGTACCTCCAGAGAGGCCAGCTCAGCCCCTGACCGGTGTTTAAGGGGAAGCCAAGAGTGCTTGTTTGTGGAGAAGAGTCTGGTTTGAGTTCCGGCAGCCCTGGCAGGTCTCGCCTTGGCCTTTCCCTTTCCTTTCCTCTCTCCCCTCCCTACCCACCCCACCTTTCGCTTCCCTATCTGGTGAGTTTGTTACACAGTGACAGTAAGGTTGCTCACAGGCTGTGTGCCCTGCGCTGCGCTCAGCATCACCACAAGGCTCACCTCTGGTTACGTGTGTCTATGCCCCCTGACCGGTTCTGGAGAATCATGGCAGCACCTCCCTCACCACAGCGAAACCTGCACAGCTGCATTCCTGTGGTGGTTTTTCAATGAATAAATAATTACCAAGTTCCACTGAAAAAGTAAATGGTAGTTTTTATTTGTATACAAAAATCCTGAAGGAAATATACTAAACTATTTTTGATTCCTAATTTTCTTTGTGCATTCTTATTTTTAAAAAAATATTTTCTACAATAAATGTATCCTTTTATCAAAAAGAATTAACTGTTGCCATAAAATATTCTTAAACCCCTCCCCCCAGTGAAAAGGAAATGGTATTTAAAAGTTTCCTGGTCAAATATCTATTAAAAGCATGTCTGTGTATCAGGTACTAAGAGGAGTCATTTCCTGCCTTGGTTACAAGGGTGTGCTATTTTTTTTTTTATTAACCTCACAAGTCCTAAAGTTTTTTGCTCAAATTCATCTTTTCGTGGCTTCATGTTTCCCATCTGTAAAATAAGTTGGATTAGATCTTTCTAAGCTGCCCTCCAACCATAAAATTCTGTCTTAAGAAATTAATTTCTAACTAGCATAACATTAGCAATACTTATGAAAAGATTTTGCTGGTAAAAAATTGGTTTCACTTTTTATTTGCCGACACTAACACTACTTTAAGGAAGTGTCTGTTATCTGGGTCACATCTTAATTAAAATGAATGTTATTTTTAACCTTTATCATTTGGTATTTTATAACAAGCCAACCAGCTATTTTACATTATTCATTGTGGATATGGAGTAGTAAAAATGCTCATGCTGTCATTCCAAGTAGAAGACTTGATAGGACTCAACTCAGCTTCAGAATCTGGAAAGTTTTCTCTTTCCTTACATTTTTCAAATTTTGCCCCCCACTTTTTTTTTTAGATTAAATCCATTTGAGAAGCAGAGTTAGAGGGAGGGAGGGAGATAGAGAGGTCTTCATCTGCTGGCTCACTCCCCAAATGGCCACAACTGCCGGATCTGGACTAATCCAAAGCCAGGAGCTTCCTCCAGGTCTCCCATGTGAGTAGAGAGGCCCAAGCATCTGGGCCATTCTCCACTGCTCCACCAGGCCACCAGCAAGGAGCTAGATCAGAAGTGGAACAGCCAGGACCCAGACCAGTGCTCAAATGGGATACCGGCGCCACAAGCGGAGGCTTAACCTACTGCACCACAGCACCAGCCCCTACCCCACTCTTAAACATGGTAATTTCACCTAGTTGGCATACAAACATTTGAAGTCTCTGTCTTTCTGTGTATTTTAAGATTTTACTTACTTAATTCAGAGGGAGTGTTACAGAGAGGGAGAGAGAGAGGGTCTTCCATCCACTGGTTCACTCCCCAGATGGCTGCAATGGTTGGAGCTGAGCCAATCTGAAGCCAGGACCCAGGAGTTTCCTCTGGGTCTCCCATGCAGGTGCAGGGGCCCAAATACTTGGGCCATCCTCTACTGCTTTCCCAGGCCATAGCAGAGAGCTGGATTGGAAGATGAGCAGCCAGACATGAACCGGTGCCCATAAGGGATGCCAGTGCTGCAGGCAGAGGCTTATTAGCCCACTCCACCACAGTGCTTGCTAGCCCCCCTATTCATTAGCCATCTAATAGTCATCTTTTGGCATCATTCTGGGACAATGCTGGAATTGGGGGGGGGGGGGGATAAAAAGTTTCCTGGTTTTCCAGAGATGCCCAATCCAGTGCTGAATGAAACTTGCTGCAACTCAGGTGTTTTGTTATTGGAAAACAAGTCTGGATGTTGATTTGTAGTTTGGTGGTTTGGTTTGTTACTATTCTTCGGCTGTTGCAACAGTGACACTTCCTGGCTTCACTACAATGTGGTTCTGTTTTTACTATGGGGATGAATAGCAGAGAAAGGTGAAATAGAATGAAGGTGAGTTTTTTTTGTCCTAATGTTGGATGATCCCTAGCAGTTAACTTTTTTTTTTTTTTTATTTGACAGAGTTACAGACAGAGAGAGAGAGAGAAAGGTCCTCCTTCCGTCAGTTCACTCCGCCAATGGCCACCACGGCCGATGCTGTGCCAATCCGAAGCCAGGAGCCAGGTGCTTCCTCCTGGTCTCCCATGCTGGCTCAGGGACCAAGCACTTGGGCCATCCTCCACTGCCCCCCACCACTCGGGCCACAGCAGAGAGCTGGACCAGAAGCAGGGCAACCGGGACTAGAACCCGGTGCCCATATGGGATGCCGGCACCACAGGCAGAGGATTAACCAACCAAGTGAGCCACGGCGTCGGCCCCTGTAGCAGTTAATTTTTGTCACTGGCATAGAATGTTCTCCATAATGGGTTTTATACCAGGAACTCTTTTTTTTTTTTTTTTAAGATTTATTTATTTATTTGAAAGTCAGAGTTACATAGAGGAGAGGCAGAGAGAGAGAGGTCTTCCATCTGATGGCTTACTCCCCAATTGGCTGCAACAGCCAGAGCTGCGCCGATCTGAAGTCAGGAGCCAGGAGCTTTTTCCGGATCTCCCACGCGGGTGCAGGGGCCCAAGGGCTTGGGCCATCTTCCACTGCCTTCCCAGGCCATAGCAGAGAGCTGGATCAGAAGTGGAGCAGCCAGGACTAGAGCCAGCGCCCATATGGGATGCCTGCGGTTCAGGCCAGGGCATTAACCTGCTGTGCCATAGTGCAGGCCCCCAGGAACTATTTGATAACTAGGAGCATGCTGATGAATTCTGGGTTTAATTAGAATATATGCTTTTTCCAAAGGACAATTGTTTGTCATTCCTTTATCCAGAGATTCCTCAAGTATCTGGCAGCCAGAAAATGTTTTTAAATATCAGATTTTTTCTAGCTTAAGACTGAAATTTGTGTGTAGTAAGGGGGGAGGGTGTTTAAAAAAAAAAAAAAAAAAAACAGAGCCAGACAGAGAAGAGCTCCCATCCACTCATTTACCCCTCTAAATGCCTGAAGTTGAGCTAAATTCAGAGCCAAAATCCAGGAACTCGATTGAACTCAATCCAGCTCTCCAAGATGCATTCCAGGAACCCAATTACTTGACCATTATTGGCTCCATGGTCTGCATTTGCAGGAAGCTGGAGCCAGAGCCAGGAATCCAGTTCAAGCACTCTGATGTGGGGCATGGATGTGTTAATAACCACATGGCCAAATGCCTCCCCCAGGAAGTATTTTTAAAATTAGTTACTAGTTGGCCAGCGCCACGGCTCATTTGGCTAGTCCTCCGCCTGCGGCGCTGGCACCCTGGGTTCTAGTCCCAGTCAGGGCACCAGATTCTGTCCCGGTTGCTCCTCTTCCAGTCCAGCTCTCTGCTGTGGCCCGGGAGGGCAGTGGAGGATGGCCCAAGTGCTTGGGCCCTGCACCCGCATGGGAAACCAGGAAGAGGCACCTGGCTCCTGGCTTTGGATTGGCGCAGCGCACCAGGAAGACCTCTCTCTCTCTCTGTCTCTCTCTCTCTGTCTCTCTCTCTCTGTCTCATTCTGCCTGTCAAAAAAAGGAAAAATCAGTTACTAGCATAGCATGGCTTTTTTTTTTTTTTTGCTTGCCTCAATTAAATTCTACTCATTGTCTTACATAAAATACTATTAAATTTTTGTGTGTGTATCCCAGTGCCTTAAGGAAATGAAAAAGGAAGAACAAATAAGAATGTTTTCCTTTTGAAATACATTCCTTTTATATTCCCAGGTTCACATGATAGGCTGTAACTAGCTTCACATCTGCTGTCCTGTGTACAGAATGAAGTGGGCACTTTCGTATTCCCAAGTGCAAAAGGGTGATACCGTGAAAGCAAAGAATGAATCTCAGCAGATTCTAACAATTATAACCTGCATTTTTAGTCAAAGACAAACTTCCAGAGAGTTGCCCACTGGCTGCACTAAGCATCACCCGTGCCTGTCATGTTTGAAAGCCCCCTTCCCCATTCAAGTTGCTATAGACCCCAAATCTGAAAAACAGTTCCAGGAGGGGAAAACATTTTATGAGAAGAACAAATGAGGTGGTCCTTTTCCTCTGGGGAGGGGCTTTCTCCGCAGGGCAGTAACCCCGCCTGCGAGACAGAGGGGGAAGAAGGGCAGGCTCCTCTGGAGGTACAGCCGTGCTGGGAAGTCACGAGGTGAAGATGAACTGCGCTGAATGTCCTGTCAGCACAGCCTGGCGCAGTTACACACTCGGCTAATGGTGGGTGAAAGCAACGGTTGAAGCGGACTGATCTCTGGTAGCGTCTTTGTCGTGTGAGTTCTAGGTGGTAAGGAACACACATGACTTTTCCTGCTTTCTTCCGCCAGCAGGTTGTGATGAGTCTTCAAGACTTGTACAAAGAATACCCAGCACTGGAGTCTGCAGTTACATTCCATCACTTAATAGGTAGCACTTGGAATGAGTTTTCAAGTTTGGTTTCTCTTTAAACATCTCCTAAAACAACTGAACAACTCTAGTCAACATCTTTGGGGGGAACTTATGATATTTGTGTTATGACTGGAAATGTTGTCCTCACATTAAGCTAACTTTAAACTGTTGTGCGAATGTTACCCTGAATTTGAATCTTATTTATTTTGCCAGAAGGGTTATTTTTATAGTAGGTTTAGTTGAAAGTCCTTGATCATTTGTGCAGAATATTCTAATGTTATTTTCACACTTGATAAATTATCCAATTAATTTCTCTGGTTAAGTGTAATTTGAGGCACATTTTGCTCATACAAGCTTCTAGGCTTATGTTCCCTGAGGGCTGAAGATGCAGTGTAATTTAGCATATAAACCACTAAATTAGGAGCTGAAATACAAGTTTTGCTCCTGACCAACCATGGGTAAATCATTTTTCTTTGTGTCTATTTCTCTACCTGTAAAATGGGAACTAGAAATTTATATTTAGATGTTATTAATATGTTACATCTATTCACATGGGATCTGTTTTTTAAAAACATTTTTTGAATCCAGGGAGGCCTTCTATAATTCTATAACTGTGCGACAACCTACGGAATGAAATATGACTTGAAAAATTGAAACATCCAGTGGTCAAAATATCAAAAAGCCTGCTATTACTTAGAAATTGCTGTTGACATGAGATTTGTAAGCAGTCATTGTAATCCACTTGAACCCTGAAAACAGGTGCTTTATGAGAGGGAATGAATGCAAACTGAGGGTAGGGAGGACACTAATGACAGAAAGACCACATGGGTGTTTAGTTTTAAGAGCAAGTTGTAGGGCCGGTGCTGTGGAGTAGTGGGTAAAGCCGCTGCCTGCAGTGCCAGCATCCCCTATGGGCGCCAGTTTGAGTCCCAGCTGCTCCACCTCCAAACCAGCTCTCTGCTATGGCCTGGGAAAGCAGTGGAAATGGTTCAAGTCCTTGGGCCAGGAAGAAGGAAGAAGCTCCTGGCTCCTGGCTC